TGGCCTGGCCTGCAGACACACTATGTCATGGTAAGACACCGACCCTCCCCTTCTGTAAGCCTGGGTGCCATCATTTACCCAGGGGCAGGCCATCCAGAGAACACAGGCAAGAAGGACATGAGGCTCCTAGGAGACAGGGCATGGCATTCATGTCCCCAGAGAAAGGCCAACAGGCATGGGGACAGTCAAGGAGCTCAGTGACCAACCAGGTGGCCCTGGGCTCCCTCATTAGCAAACACAGGGCAGCAGACAGCCGGCCGCCCCAAGGGTGGAGGGCTCTCACTGCCAGCAAAAGCTAGTTTCATCTGAGATCAATATAATCACAGAACAACATTTTTGGAAATTGAAAAAAAAAAGGGAGACAACGTGCTCATCATCACACCCCACGGACACGCTGGCACATCTTCCCCTCTGCCGGTGCTGTCCACTCTGGTGGCCACTGGACATGTGCTATTTGCATTTATATTTAATCAATCATACATGAAATTAAAAATTCAGTTGTTCAGTTCCACCGGCCATGTTGCCAAGGGTTCTTGAGCCATTTAAAGCTGGTGGCTCCATGGGGCAGCCCTACTCTGAGCTGCCTCTTCCTCTCCCAGGCCTTTCCCAGAGCTTCCCCCAAGGCGTTGAGCCTCCTGGAAGTCAGTGCACCCCTCCTCACAAACACGGCACCCCTGAGCTCACACACAAGGTGGAGTGAGATTTCAGGAGGCCCATGGCCTCAGCTAAAGCTCCCAGATCCCACAAATGAAGCACATCCACTGTCCCTCCTCTATCATGGCTACTTATATTCTTTTCTTTTTTCCCCACAGAAAGAATACCACGATGAATATCTCCATGCCAATGTTTTTTTTTTTTTTAATTGTTGGGGATTCATTGTGGGTACAAATCCATGCCAACGTTTTTTTCCCCTTTTTCTGTAATTTGGATTATTTCTTTGGATGAGTTCCAGAAGGGACATTCTGACTGAGAGGACAATCATTTTGGTTCTTTATTCAGATCACCAGTGCACACCCCAGGCAGGGCCACTGACCCGGTACCAGCCACACAGGGGCCTGTGATGTCACACCCTCACCCACCTGGCTCTGCAGACTAGACAAACAGCATGATTCCACAGTTCTGCCTGGTGGCCACCCTCCGCGTCATAGCCCACAGCCCTGATTTCTGACCTTCGGAGGGCACTGGGCCAAGAGAGCCCAGAACCCAGCCAGCCCTGCTTAGGGAAGCTGAGGAACTCAGGGCGGGGAGGAGGCCCATGACAATGAGTCAGTGGCAACAGCTGTCCTCATCAGCCCATCCCCAAGTCAGCCCTGCACACTCATTTGGTCAAGGGTGTCCAGGTGGCACTGTGCTGGGGGCTGGGGGTCCAGAAGGAAACCACGAGCTTGGGCAAGTGGGCTCACGTTCCAGGAAGCAAGCCCTGCCCAGCTGCGGCCCACAGGTAGCACACGAGAATGGAGAACCCGGGGACACTGCCACTTTTAACTGCTCTGCCCTTCTGTGAACTACCTACTAACCAACCAACTGTGGGGGTGCTCACAGATGGAGGGCGCTGTTAGTCCTCCCGCCTGACCCAACTGGACAGTTGCCTGCATGTGTAGTTCTCCAGTTCTGCCACTAGAGGGGACCAGTGAGCCAGCCTGTGTCTCTGCCCTCCTGGTGGAATCTTCCAGTCAAGCAGGAACCTTTGCTGGGGAGCGGCCACAGGTGCTCCTGGGTCCCCAGAGCCATTCCTCTAGTCACATGGGGTGGCCAGTCCCCTGGGGGCCTCATCCCTGATGCCACTTCCTGTCCCTTTGGTCTCCTTCCAGGGGTTCTCAACTCTGGCTGCACTTTGGGGCCCTCCTGGGGAGTTAAAAATCTGTCACTGCTGGCCAGCCCATGAGGCTGGCTCAAGTACAAAGCTGCCCTGGGGTACTCACGGGCAGCCTGGCTGGGGACAACTGCTCTACAGTGTCCAGTACCCCTGAGGGCTTTTAGTCTAAATTTCCAGTCCCCCAGGTGAAGGTGCCTCAGGGAATGGAAAGGGTTTGGGGCAACAACTTTGCTTCCAGGCCTAGGACCTGGGAGGTAAGACCACACCCCGGACAGCAAGCCTGAAGGAGCAAGGAATGCTGGGAAATGCAGATTCCAGGGCACACCCAGCCCTCCTGGAATCCATATCTGCTTGTTTAAAGCTCCCAGCAGTCTGTCATGCCTGATGGCACTGTCATTGGAACCACTGTGTCTCCCATGGTACATCTGTCACTTCTGCCCTAGAGACAGGCCTTTTCCATGTCAGCCCCAGACTGGGGTTGCTCAGGGATCGTCTAGGGGTCCACGGCAGAGAGGCCAAAGGAAGAGCAGCACCAAGCAGCAGCCATCTGGCCAAGGAGCATCTCCCTGTGGGGAGCAGACCGGGAAGGGGTGAGCACCCAACACCAGCCTCCTGTGGAGGACGCCTGGGCCAACCTCAGGGCCACACCCCAGGCTGACACTCAACCTCACCCAGCCCCCCCTACAACACCCCTGAGTCAGCAGAATTTAGGAGTCAGGAGGTAACTCCCAAGGTCACTCAACTGGAGGGCGGGGTGACTCCAGGATGTGAAACAGATCTGTACACACGGGGCTGCCACCTGGGGCCCCAGCAGGGCTGGGCAAGAGAACAGAGACCTAGCAGTAGGTAGCACCCTCCTAGGCCTGGGCAGAGGGGAGGACAAAGAAGGCTGCCCCCAAACCCAGACACAAAGGTACCAGCAGGGCTGCACCTCAGACATGCCAGCTGAGTCGGAGATGGAAGATGTCCAGGCGAGGGGGCTACGAGCACAGGCATCAGGCAAAGAGGGAGTCTGGGGGCCCCAGGAGAAGATGACCTGAAGGTGAGGAGGGAACCACCATTGCTCAGCTGGGCCTGGCCTCTGGCCTTCCAACCTGAGCCAGGAGATGAAGCTTTATTCTGAAAATGGTGGGTGGCCCTGAAGGGTCCCAGGCAGAGGGCAGGTCCACAACCAGAGCCCTGCAGGGGCCTACAGACTCCTTATCCCACCCTCATTGTGACAAAAATGTCCCTTGACACTGCCACAGTCCCCTGGGTACAGAATCAGCTCCCAGTGAGAATCACTGCTCTGGAAGAACCTGGAACACACCACCACCACCACGCCCCGAATCGTGCCCCACCCCAGCAACAGAAGGAGAACCACCCGGGGGGAGGCCAGGGAAGGCAGAACCAGGGTGCATTCCCTTGACAACTCATAAGATGCATATTACTGCACCCATCTTACAAATGGGGAAGCCGAGGCTCCAAGAAGATAAGGTCTTTCCAGGGTTCACATCAACCAATGGTGCCATAGCTCAACCAGCGCGCAACTCCTTGAGCCCCAAATCTGAGCACTTTAGGGGAAGGGGCTGCTTGACAGACAGCTGAGTAGGTCAGGCTCTCACGTGGGTTGCCACTATGTCTTGGCCTAGACCCACCTCTCTGGCACACAGCTCCACCCCCTCCTTGTGCCTGGGGCCGGGAGGTGCCCTCCCCTCCTCGACTACTGCAGGTGCCGCCGTACTGCCCCCATGGCACCGGCAGGGGGCGTTCTGACCGGGCCAGAAGGACTTGAGCCAGGGCCGGACTTTCGGCCCCTCCTTGTTCCCCAGCCCGAATGCAGCACAGCTCAGCGGACCTGGTCCATTGCGGCTGACTGCCTCCTTTTATCTGCGCCCTCAAGTGCTCGACCAATGTTATCAGCTCACCCCTTGGGTTATAATGGACTGAATCTTATTGAAGGGATAAAATCGGGAAAGAATCCATCTCAAATGCATTCTTGCTGAAGCCAGCAGAGCATTCAGGGTCCTCCGCCCTGTGCCTCTGCTACCCGGCTTATGTCGCCTGGTGTGACCTTTTGTGTTCCAGCTGGAGTGTAAAGCCAGCTGGGTCTAACCCAACCCCCACCCCCGCTTGACTTAAGTCCTGGCTGGGTGACCTCCAGCAGGTTGTTGACCCCCCTCTGGGCCTCCTTTTCCCTTTCCTTGTGAAGGAGATAATATTAGGGCCTACCCCACGCTGAGCGTGGGGCTGTGGAGAGCATAATGACACGAGCGCCACAGCAGGCAGTGCGCAGGCGCAGCAGCGCTCCGCCCACTGGGCCCCCAGCCGGAGCCAGGCTCCAAGCAGCTCTGTAATTAGTCACGCACTCCCTGACTTAGGCCAGCCCTTGCTAATGTCTACTGTCACCACCATCATTTGCCTCATCTGATGAGTGCATGGAGCACAGCCGAGCACGGGAAGGGACTGCAGAAGCCAGCGCGGGCCCCACCTGGGTGTGCTGGTGCTCCGGGCCTGTGTCGCGCACTGCTCACCCTTCTGGTGCGTAATCACTGGGAAGGTCCTAGGACCCTCATGACCCCTTCCAGGGATAGGGGACCCTCAAACAAATCCAAACTTCACAGAACAAATCCTTTTATTGAAAGGATCCAGAAGACCACATGTGGCCCCAAGGCCATCAGCTCCCACCCCTGTGGGCTCCAAGGCCCACAGAACTCGCTGCAGGGCATGGGTTGAGCTGGGGCTTCCCCAGCCCCACAAGTGCTGCTGCCACCCTCTGCCCCCTTCAGCTCTCCTGGGGTGCATGGCAGCTTGCCAGTAGGGTGAATGCACCAGCATCCCCCAGGACCCTGCTCCCACCTCTACCTCCATGGCTGGCAGATGGGAGGAGGAGGAAGGCTGACATTCCTGAGGAGCCCAGGCCTGGCTGGGGACCACACAGAGTAGCTAGCCCTGTCAATAAGCTTTGTGACACCTCCCGGCCTCTGTGCATCTGCCTGGTGGCCACCCCTTGGCGACAAGAAGAGAAACACACACCTGGCAGGGACTGCTTTGGTCCTAGGTGAGGATACCCGGGGGAAGGAAGGAGAATGTGGAAACCCACTGCGTATCCTTCACAAACCCCTGGACTGGACACAAGGAGCCGCACGCTGTGTGGCCTTGGGGGCCCACCCCAGAGCACCCAGGCCCAGAACCAGGGACTCACCTGCTGTCGCTTTCCAGAAACACAGAGCCGCGGCCTTCGGCCAGGGCTGTGCTGATGGGTGAGAGGCAGAAGGGAGAGGAGAAGGCGTCTGAGTCCGAGTCGAAGGAGCTGTCTCTGCTTACACCCTCAGCCGACAACTCTAGGGAGCCCTCCTTCTCTCCCACCTCGGGCCGAGGCTCCTGCCCCTCCTCAGTCCCATCCTGGGAGCTGACAGTGGACAAGGTTCCGGAGTCGCTGTGGGCAGGCTGTGAGGCCGGGAGGGGCCCATCCTCCCCCAGGCCCTTGGCGAGCTTCTCTCCGTTCTCCAGTGAAGGGCTGGGGAGCACAGTGTCTCCAATGCTCTGGGCCACCACCAGGATGTCCTCATCTTTTGGAATCAGCGAGGGGCGTGGTTCCGTGGGGGAGGTCTGGTGGGGGCCCCCCGAGCTCTGGGTGCGCCGGCCCCGGGAGCGGGGTGCCTTGTGCACAGGGGAGCTCTCTGGGGTGATGTAGCGCAGGGCCTCCTCGTCCTGCCTCTGGATCCGAGAGTTGGGGACCCACGCCAGGATGAGGGTGGCACCCAGTGTCTCATCCTTTTCCATGTACAAGCACAGGTAACCTGGGGGAGTAGCAGGGTGGGCTTGTTAAGAGGCAGTGGGAGCTGTGGACGAGGCCCTAACAGAGTTGGGGCCAGCTCCTGCTAGATGCCACCCAGTCCCACCCTCCCACCCCACCCCCCATCTCCCACAACCCCACCACCCTGCACAGCAGTCAGGCAGAGACTTCACTCTATTTCATGAAAAGAACTCATCCCAGCTGGTGGTGTCTGGGCCTCTTCCAATAGGCTGTGGTACGCTGAGTTTTTGTTTTGTTTTGTTTTACTGTGGCTTTTTGGACCAAGGGGCCACCTTTGAAGCTGCTTGACACACGCCAGTGGTGGACACTGGATTACTGGTAGGGATAGACAGGTGTCCTTCCACCAGGGCCAGTAGCCAAGGGGTGGGCGCTGGGTTTGGAGCAGGCGCCATTTCCTAACACAGCACCAAGCCCTTTTGGGACACTCAGGCCCAGGCTCCACCTCTGTGCTGAAAAGCTCTGGGGCAGGGCTGTGGGCCTCCACCACGGTCTCTCCTCAGGACTGCCCCCATTCCCAGCAGAGGTGGGGAACCTCAGGATGTCAGCCAGCTGTGCATAAGGGTACAAGGGCCAGGCCTGGTGAGGCTTGGTGTTCTCATAGCCTTGACTCATGAGTCACATGGCTTTGGGACTGGGTGCAACCCAAGACCTCACCCCCCATCCCTCTGCCTCCCAGCACCATGTGAAGCCTCTGAAGGCCTACAGCCTCCTCAAGCCCACCCCTAAATGTCCTCCCTACAGGAGGCTGCAGGCCATGGGCTGGTGATTGATCTCTGCTCTGGAACCTAATTGGACCTCTGAATTTAACTGTCCAGATCACTGTAAAGATACACTTATCAAGACTTTCTTTAAACATTTCATTAGCATGATCTAAAAGTTTTGTCTTTTTTTTTTCCTTTATGTTTTTTGAGACAGAATTTCACTACATGGCCCAGGCGGGCCTCAAGTTCCTGGGTAAAGTTGATCATCCCATCTTGGCTTGTGAGTAGCTGGGATCCAGGGCGGGCGCCACCACACCTGGCTCAACATTTCGTCTTGTTTAATAATTTATTACTTAGCACTCACATTGAGATACAATTTGCATACAGTAAAGTGCTCAGATCTCACTGCAACTTAGAGCCTATAGATATTTCGAGGTCTGGCCTGGGGCCTGCCTGTGCTCTCACCCTAGGTGCCTGTGGCAAAGAGGGGGCAAGTCCCTGTGGTCCACAGGAAGCTGTGGAACCCTGGGACCCTGAGAAATATTTTGGGCACCCAGCGGGAGGACGGGAAGTAAGAGGAACAGTCCAGGGAAGCCCCCCACCCACGTGCCCATGCCTGGGGGAGGACAGGAAGTAAGGGGACAGTCCAGGGAAGCCCCCCACCCACGTGCCCATGCCTGGGGGAGGACGGGAAGTAAGGGGCAGTCCAGGGAAGCCCCCCGCCCACATGCCCATGTCCAGCACTGAGCAGCCTCTTGAGCAGCAGGGTCCTAACCCACCAAGGAGGCCCCGCCGTTCCCACGGGGTTTGTGCAATAAAGCTATACATTTGTTTATTGCAAATAGCTCACAGGAATGATAAGGGACTAAGTAGACCTTGGGCATCACTAATCTATCTTTTGTTCCTCCCTTGGGGGAAGGCAGGGCCTGTTTCAGGAAAGGGGGATGCAGGACCTGTCACCTCAGGGCCCCTTCTGGGAGGACAGCTATAGTTAGTTCCACATTCTAGAAAAAGAACCAAATAAACTCATCTTTCTTGCATGCTATGGCCCAGGGCCTTGAGTACCCCGGCTCAAATAGAACCTGGACTGCCAGAAACCAAACCAAACCCAAGAACACATGGTCTCTTTCTTAGTGGCTCAGCCCATGAGAAAGCAACTGTTCCCACAGGAGGAAGTGTCCCACCCCAGAAACCACAAGAGCATGGCCTGCAAGTGTCCCAGGACAGACTGTGGGTGACGCGGACTCCAACACAGAGAGTCCAGAAAGGTGCCCTTTGTCTACCTCCACCTGAAGCACCCAGCTGGAGTTTTCCCCCTAATTTTGAAACAGTGAGATTCCAGGGCACAGGGTGACCAGGAACAGTGATTTCTTGGGAATTTCAGCCCATTCCCCTGGCTCCCAGGTCTGTTGATGCTCTGTCTGTTCTCAACTAACTCAGCTGCTGCATCCGGAAAGGTGGGGTCCCTGATGCCTGGTGCAGGTTCCTGAGAAGGGGGGTTTCCCCTCACAGCTGAGGAAATTAGGGCCAATGAAGAAACAAGATAGAAACTTTGAGGCAGGCCCTGGTGACTGCAGAGAGATCCTCTGGGCCCTCTGTGGGCCTGTAACCTCAGAGTGCCATCCCTAGGCCTATGACCTCAGGGTCCCCTCCCCAGGCCTGTGCCCTTGGGGGCCCCTCTGGCTCACCTGGGTGGTGCTCACCCAGCCCCTGCAGCCCCTCGGGCGGGTGCACGCAGACATTGTTCTTCGAGTAGATAATCTCACCATCCAGGAGGGAGGGGGACCCGCTGCCACTGCCGCCAGCAGTGAGGGTCAGGAGGTCGGAGGCTTTGGAGGAGGCCCGGCGAAGGAGGCGGCCCAGAGACATTGCGGGGTGAGTGTTTCCATCCTCCGCAAGCTTAGGCCCAGGCGGGGCTCGTCAAGACCTGCCTGGCAGGGAAGAGAGAGGAGATGCATAGAGCTCAAGGTCATGGACTCGTGCATCTGTCCCCAATGCTGTGTCCTGCCTCACACCGGCGGACACCCAGCAGGTGCTGGGCAACTACAGGAAGGGGGTCCTACTGGCTCACGGCAATGTGGGGGCAGGTCAGGTTCTCCACCTGGGCCAGGTCATTCTTTTGGGGGCAGCCTGTACAGTGCTGCATCCCTGAGCTGAACCCTGAAATGCCACTCACATCACCCCAAACAAGAACCACCGGCATCAGCACATGTGAACCGTTCCTTCCTGAACTTTCCAACCCACCCCCACCATGTGTCCCCAGCATCCTGATCCCTAAGATATCACAAATAATATCTGAAGAACCTGAGTTTACATACAATTCATTTTTTATAAAAATAAACTAGAAGCAAAAGGATCAGTATCCAGCATATATAAAGAATGCCTACAAACTCACTGTCAAAAGGAGCAACATCACAGTAGAAAGAATGGGCAAAGTACAGGAAGAAAACCAAAGAACTGGTAAACATGTACAGAAATTCTTAGTTTCAAACAAAAACTCAACATCCATTAGACTGGCAAAAGCAATCATAGATCTAGAAATGTACATGATGGAGAGGACGCAGAGGGGGGCTCTCACGGGCTCCAGTCTGCTCCAGGGTTGGAGAGATTCAGCCAGATAGGACACCATTGAGAGGGCTACGCGATAGAGTGAACCCTCGCTGCCGAGGTCAGCAAACTTATCCCCCAAAGGTCCAAAGAGTAAACATGGGGGTTCTCTGAGCTAGATGGTCTCTGATGTGACTGCTCAATTCTGCCCTTTCTGGGGGCAGCTGAAGACAACAAATAAATGGGTATGACTGGTGAAACATCAAGGAGAGACACAGAAGCCTGAATTTCGCGTCATTCTCACATGTGACAAAAAAGCATTCTTCTCTGGACTTTTTCAATCATTTTAAAAATGTCAAAACCAAGCTTAGCTGCACAAAACGGGTAGGAGGCTAGGGCTGCTGGCCAGGAAGCCTCCTTGCCACCTGTAGTCTAAATACTTCATTTCACACTGTGACATAGACAACCAGGTTGTGACACTTTTAAAAAATCACATTGCAACCTACACGTCGAAAAATATGTCATCTTTCCCATTAATCACCTGGAAAAAGTTGTATCCCTTCTGTTGTCCAGAATATTTTTAGAATTCAAGAATTACAAGGTCAGGGCGGCGCCTGTGGCTCAAAGGAGTAAGGTGCCAGCCCCATATGCCGGAGGTGGCGGGTTTAAACCCAGCCCCGGCCAAAAAACTACAAAAAAAAAAAAAAAGAATTACAAGGTCAGTTAATGAGCATTATAAGAAAACTAATCCCTATCTCTAGACTCGGCAAGCCCAATAGAAATAAAACAGGAACCACATATATAATTTTAATTTTCCCGGGAGCAGCAGGGCACGGTGGCTCACACTTATAATCCCGGCACTTGAGAGGATCAGTTGAGCCCAGACATTCAAAGCCAGCCTGGGTGGCATAGCAAGACCCTGCCTCTACAAAAATTAGCTAGGTGTGGTGGGCACCTGTAGTCCCAGCCACTCAAGAGGCTGAGGCAGGAGGATTATTTGAGCCCAGGAGTTAAAGGTTACAGTTAGCTGTGATTGCAGCACTCCACTCCAGCCTGGGCAACAGAGCAAGACCCCATTTCAAAAAAAATTTTTTTTCTTTCCCTGGTAGCCACATTTTAAAAAGTAAAAAGAAACAACTGTAGTTAACTTTAATAATTTTTTAATCCATCGTATCCAAAATATTATCATTTTAGCATGTAATCAATACAAAACAGTATTAAAGAAATATTTTACATTCTTAAAGTCTTCGAAGCCTGGTGTACATTTTGGACATAAGCACCTGAAGTTCCCACCAGCCACCTCTTTGGTGCTAGTGGCCTCTGCAGGGGGTCAGACCTCCACAGGGCTGGGTCCTCCCCTCCTTCGGAGCATTAGTGTAACTGCCTGAATCGCCAGAGTGACTGCAAACAACTCTCAGCAGCTTCCAAAAATCAAAAACACCTTTCAGTGAGGATGTTTTGCCACCTCTGAGGATCATCAAAAGAATATACTGGAGGTTTTTTTTTTTTTTTTTTTTGAGACAGAGCCTCAAGCTGTCCCCCTGGGTAGAGTGCCGTGGCATTACAGCTCACAGCAACCTCCAACTCCTGGGCTCAAGCGAGTCTCCTGCCTCCGCCTCCCAAGTAGCTGGGACCACAGGCGCCTGCCACAACGCCCGGCTATTTTTTGGTTGCAGCCGTCATTGTTGTTTGGCGGGTCCAGGCTGGGGATTCGAACCCGCCACCTTAGGTGTACGTGGCTGGCGCCTTAGCCGGTTGAGCTATAGGCGCCGAGCCATATACTGGAGGTTTTGAAGGCAATTCCAAAATACAGGTGTGCCAAATACAGCTTTTCCCATGTGCCGCCAGAGGAGAACCCTCACCTGGGCTTGGTGAGGAACGCCCCAGAGTGCACCTCGCAGATGAGCAAACAGGGTCCCAGAGTCCCAAGCTGTTCCCAACAGGAGGCCTTTGTCTGTTCGTCCTGCTGCCTGGGCACACAAGGACAAGTGTGCCCTCTGCCTCCAGATCACTCTGGAGAGACCAGGCTCCTTTTGGATAAATCAGGCCATGCCTGTTCAACAGCAGCCAGGATGATGTACTCCTTCAAGACAATTCTTACTTATTTTTTAAAATGTTCTGGCTTGTCTGTGAGTCTTTCATCTAAGCTGAAACTGGTTCCCCATGTACCATCCAATTAGAAATGATCTATTTTTAAAACTTAAAAAAAAATCATGAAACACATCAGAAAAGTGTATAGGTCCCTTAAATCACACAACCCCAAAATATTTGTGTGTTTTTCACCATCTTCCATTCCCTGTCTAAAACAAACAAATAAAAAATGTAGGCCGGCACAGTGGCTCATGCCTGTGATCCTAGCACTCTAGGAGGCCAAGGCAGGTGGACTGTCTGAGCTCACAGGTTCCAGACCAGCCTGAGCAAAAGCAAGACTCCATCACTAAAAACAGCCAGGTATTGCGGCGGGTGCCTATAGTCCCAGCTACTCGGGAGGCTGAGGCAAGAGAATCTCTTGAGCCTAAGAGTTTGAAGTTGCTGTGAGCTGTGACACCACAGCACTCTACTGGGGGCAAAAAAGTGAGACTCTGTCTCAACAATAAATAAAAAACCCACCCACTGGAATGATATTGTATCTTGCTTTCAGTTATATCATAAATACATTTTCCCAGGGAGTATGGGTTGAAATGTACCCCTGAGATTCATGTGTTAAAGTCATAACCCCCCAACACCTCAGAACGTGACCTTATTTGGAGATAGTATCTTTATAGGGGTCGTCACGTCAAAACGCAGTCATCAGGGTGGGCCCTGGTCCGACATGACCAGCATCCTCATAACAACGGGAAGCTTGGAGACAAAACATGTATAAACCAAGAGAATGCCGTGTGACTGTGAGGATGGCAGCCACAGCCACAGAGATCCCTCTGCCATGGGCTCCGAAGGAACCAGCCCCCTGAGATCTTGGACTTCTGGCCTCCACAACTGGAAATGGCTTTCTGGTGATCAATCCACGTGAGCAAACTAGCCTGTTTATTAGACATTCCTGTTCACCTGTGAATTGTCTGTTGCTGTGCTTTGTTAATTGGCTACAGCATTGCAATTCTTATTTGATGTGTGAGAATTCTTTCTGCAGCAAGGATCATAATTCCCAGCTATAGTTACTGCACATGTGTTTTTCCTAATTTATTGTTTGCCTTTTAATTGTTATTATCTACTCTGAAGTACAGAAGTTCTAAAACTCTTACGCCAACCTGTGGCAACTTTTCCCTTAGCAATTTTTTCATTACTCTTATCCTTTATATAATCCTTCCCAAGCCAAAGTTCTGTTAAGCATTGGTTTATATTTTCTTCTAATTTTCCTAAGGTTTCAATTTTTAATGAACTACCCCTGATATTTCAAAAAGCCTAATTCAAAGTGTACTTTCACCAGAAAATGCCTCCAATGTTAAAAAGTATAGACCAGTTCACTGAAAGAGGATGGTGTTTTCACTGCCATCTCCTGTTGTGACTGTTTACGCCCTTACGTTCCTGATAAAAACGGCGAAATTGATCATAGCTTATAAAACTGGGATGTTTATGATACAAAACTTAACAGAAAGTTTAAAAAGAGTGTGCCCTTAGTTGTGACATGGAGACCTGCGTGGTTCCGCCTACGTTCTGGTCCGAACACTCTCCGCTTCTACAGCACTGCACACGTGGTATGTTTGAGATCATGGTCCTCACACTGTCAACACAGCTCCTGTGAGAACTCTCGCTGCAGGCACAGCTCAGTGACAGGTAGGGAGATGGGATGTTCTAACTCCCTCTGCCCAGCCATCGTCACCTCCACCTTGCTGAAAAACATTTTCAGCACCAATAAAAAAACATTTTCAGAAATTCGCAGGGCTGCCTTTCAAAACATCAAGTAAGCAGCTCTCTGACATTGCCCGGCCAGCAGCGCTATGTGGGTACCACGCTCAGGGCTCCATTGATGGGCTGAGGAGGCTGGTGGGGACTGTGCAAGGTCAGCCAGCACCCTCACAGCCCAGCAGTTCCAGCCACTGTCTCCCCAGGAGAGTGCAGGATGGGGCCGCTGCAGGCTGTCCAAAGGCACCTGACCCCCACCTCACAGCCCAGCAGTTCCAGCCACAATCTCCCCAGGAGAGTGCAGGATGGGGCCGCTGCAGGCTGTCCAAAGGCACCTGACCCCACCTCACAGCTCCTCGAGTCCCAGTCCTGCCTCACTCTGCCACTGTTCAGAGATGGCATTCTGCTACTCAGAGCACAGGCCCATTTGTCCAGGTGCCCCACCCCCATGGGCATGGCTGGGAGTGGCTGCTCCCATGGGGGCCTACTGTAGCTCCCACAGCCCCCAGCCTCATAATCACAGCACAGTGCTGTGGGCCTCACA